ACACCAAGCAAACCTGGATATATCAAGCATATTAGTGACCATATTCCACAGGTAAATTTAACAGTTATACATTTTCTTAAAAATAACCCCCCCCCCCCCTGCTGTTAATTTTTTCCCTCCCTATGTTAGAAATGTTAATCAAAAAGAGGGGAACACTTGCTAGTAAAGGTCCATGTTGCAACTTATAGAATTAACAAAATGGCTGCTTTTTATTTCTTAGGGAAAATTGTAAAGAATAACTCTGAAGAGGAACTTGATATAAAATTGCAACAATAAAAGATTTGACTCGCTTATTAAAAATCTTTAGTGTATAATAACCATCTGACGTTTTTTTTCTGTTTAGGAAGAGAAGCAAAAGAAATGTATAAAATGTGAGAAGATTTTTAAAACAAAATATGGACTTAAACTACACCTGAAGGAACATTTTAACGAAAGGTAGGTTCAAGGTTCAAGTCAAGGAACAGGGTTGAGGAAGGTCCATGATTCAAAGTAAGGACTAAGGTTAAGGTAAGTCCAGCATTCAAATCAAGGAACAAGGTTGAGGCAGGACCAGAGTTCAAGACAAGGAACCGGGTTAAGGTAGGTCCTGGGTTTAAGTCTAAGAACATGGTTTAGTTAGGTTCATGGTTCAAGTAAAGGAATAGGTTTAAAGAAGGCCTAGGGTTCAAGTCAATTTAACTGGGTGAGTATGGTTCAGGGCTCAAGACAAAAAACAGGTTTACTTACAAAAAATGAGCTCGAACTGCCCACCTGAAATTCTTTAACCCCCACAACCTAAAGGTTTATTTCTATATATATATATATAGTACTATATTTACTTGTAACAAATGATGAAAAAAGTTATTTTCAGTTGAATCTGTTGTACCTAACTATGGAGAAACGTATTTACAGACTTATTTTTTGGGAATTTTTAGGGGAAGGGGAATAAACTTTAAAAATTGGTTGTTACGATTGTAGAAAAATAAGTTCAAGTTTAGACTCTAGAGTAAATAACATAATATTTTTTCTTGTTTAGGCTATCTTGTATTGTTTGTGATTTTCAAACTGCACAGAAAAGTAATCTTGTTAAACACATGGCAAGCAAACATTGTCAGGATCTGGATGGAAAAGTTCTAGGTTTGGTTTTTTAATTAATATTTGGTAAATTTCATATTATATGTGAATAAATATCATATCATATGTGAATAAATAAATGAATAAACATGGATAGCTAAGGTTCGCAAAAACATTCTGAATTGTCTATTTAGTCTATTTATTTATTTATGGTAAAAAATATTGAGTCGACAATCCACCCTCATTGAGCCTCATAATATACCTTGAAAATTAGAAACATGAGGCGAGACACAGATCAAAAATATTTTTTATCTAATATATATCAAAACGTTGTACGCGACTAGATACAGTCAAATAAATAAAATCTACAAACAATAGAACATTTTAAAAACATTTTAAACGTATTTACATGATTTGATATGACAAAGTTTGTTAAATGTAAAAAAGTACAAATACCTTTATTAGCTAATTTTTACTTCACAGCTGAATGGCAATATTTATTTAGATGATCGATATAAATGTGATAAATGTGAGTTCCGTTGTGTGTCTGAACACATGCTCAAAAATCATCTTCTCAGAAAGCATACAGAAAAAGAGGAGATGAGGTCAGTATTTCATTTCTCTAAAAAAAACATTGAAAATAATATAAAACTTGGATAGTGATTTTTCACAAGGGTGGTGCAAAAGGGTCCTTATTTATTGTTAAAATTATTTATGAGACATTAATTAGCTCCTTATGTAAAAGCCTGATTTTTTAGATTTCAATGTGAGCATTGCTGCTATGCAACAGTAGAGAAAGCGGCTTTAGATAAACACAGGAAATTCAAGTCAAATATTGTTGATAAAACTCATTTTTGCTTTGTTTTAATTTAATTGTGTAAGCTGCAGATAGTCTTGTTATTCTTGTTATGTATTTTTATTTTTTTAAATTGTTTTCTACCAAACAATGCGTGGTAACCTTTTAGTCACGCTGAATTACCAACTTCTTCTATTTTTGCCATCAATTGATTTTCTCCAAGTATAGAATAAGGAAGTTCTATAGACCTGGAAGCCTTGAGACCTGATAGAAACACTGATTTTACTATGTGTTATTTAGTTTTATGTGCACCAAAGATTTTTTGTCTTTTTTCTACTTTTGGCAATCTGAAATTGCTTGAATATGTTTGTCTGGCTCAACTTTTGATGTGTCCTGGAACGTTCACTTGAAATCTTTAAATAACTACTAATTAGCTTCAGGCTTTCAAACCAACCAAGGACTTGAAACTCTGAAATACACTTGAACGGAAATCATATCCCCATTATTTAATTAGATTTTATTTAACTTGAAACATACTGTAGACGATTTAAGCATACGAATGAGCGTCCCTTTATGTGTGACACCTGTGGGTTTAGCACAGCAACTGCAAGCTCTATGGCAAGACACAGACGCTCTCATAGCCAAACCAAACCTCACAAGTAAGATTATTTTATTTATTGAAGGGGGGGGGGGGTTATTTTTGCACGTTTTAATTTTTAGGTGATTATAAGCATTTTTAAAAGAGGTGGATTGATAGGATTGTTAGGGGATGAAGTGTAGATATAAAACTGCGGAATAACTAATATTTAAATATTTGTTTCTTAAAAATAGTTGAAGCTACGGTCACCCTGTCATCTGCAAATAGAGCTTCTGTTATATAATACCCTCCGGGTCTCATTTTCTGTGTAATGGAACATAATTATCGCAGTGCTGTTGGGTCGGGTACCCTGTACCCTATCCTAGGGTCCAACTTCATGTTGCACATGTCCAACGATGAGTCGAACAATGGGGCTGATTTCTGGCATCCCTGCCTGATTCCCATGGTTTGCTTAATTTTTGTTTTGCTTCCTTTGAATTGAATCTCGGCTTCTTCGATTACGAGAGCTATGTATTCTCGTAAGGACTCAGGTATTCCAATTCTCTCTGCAGCCTGCAGGAGGCTAGTGTTAGCTAGCGAGTCAAATGCCTTGGCCACATCCATAAATACTAGAAACAGATCATCTCTCCTGGCCTTCGCACCCTTTATCAGATGTTTGATAATGAACGCATTCTCAGCTATACCATCTCTCGGAAGAAATGCCTTCTGCCTCTTACTAAGAGGGAGCCGTACTAGCCTCTTAGCTAAAATACCGTGGTACAGCCTAAGTAACTGGCTCGTTACTGTTATAGGCCTATATTTTCCTGGATTCTCAGGGTTCATATTCTTGGGTACCAAAGTTACATTTCCCCAGTCTCAAGAATTTGGGAGTATAACAAGACCCCTGAAATATTAGCAACATTGCATGGAGTACTTGTATCGGAATCATCAGACTTCTTTAACCCATCTGGTCCTGGAGAATTATCTTTAAGACTTCTCAAACCCTTCTGTACCTCATCCAGAGATATAGGAATCGAATAGCTAGTATCTGAAGGTCAATTAACAGTATCAATCTTCACTACGACTTCTGGTTGGAGAAAATACCAGCCCAGTATTTCTCTAACTCTTCCTTGGGTATTGCCTGAGTGACTTCTAGGTTCCCAGATAGCATCGCTTGAATGCAGCGCGAAGGGCTTTGCTTGTAAAACGATTGAGTAAGCTGCCTCAATCTTGCTTTTTCATGTTTCTTACTTATAAATGGCTGTTTTCTATCCTGTGGCCTGATTGGTTTGGTTTTGGGTTTCCTTCCCACCTCACCAACTTGAATAACTGCTCCTTGACCCAGTCATCAATAACCTTCTTATCTGTACCAACTCCCGACTCCTCCTTCGGGTTCCAGACTTTACCAATTTTATTCTTATACAACTCCTTATGTTCCTTTAGAATCTGACAATGTTCATATTTAGCATTCTTTCTCCAAGTAGTTGCCTGAGATGACTTCTTGTGGAACTGAATAAGGTCCTTCTGTGTTGCCGCATCTTGTGTCCATATGCAACTACTCTCTCTGTCTTCCACTTCCCCCTCAACTTCTTGAAGTAGCTCAGCAACATCTGGTGTTAAATATTCTTCCCCTTCAGGTTGTGAGTCTGTCATGTCGATCTGTCGCTGTCCCTCTCTCAAAGCGTCTCCTTAGGTGTGCCAGTCCTGTCACCCTCCCTTCAGTCCCCAGAAGTGGGTTCTGTAGGTTGTTCTGTCGTTCCAGTTCCATCCTTTGGTTCGGAAGTCCTTGAGTCATGTCCAGTGTCCCAGATGGCCCTTGACCCTCACCCCTGCCATCCTCTCCCTCCACTGAAGCCCCTTCTCCCTTGTCTCCAGTGATGTGCAAACCTTCTGTAACTAATCTCGCCAACTCAGCCTTCACAAGCTCCTTATGAGCCTTACTCCTTCTCTGCCCTTTAATAGCTTCCAATGATCTTCCCGGATAGAGTGGTAATAGCGCTTCATTCATGAATCTCGTCCCCTTCTTCATCAATAAAACTTCCTTCTCTGCTCAACTCAACAACTCAGCCAGTGTCCATCGCACCAATCTTCTGCTTTGGTCGCTTGATCAGTTACTTCCTTATGTGTCCTCGCCATATGCACTGCCAGGCCCCGCCTGGTCCCAAAAGATTGATCACAAATAACACATCTCACTCCTCCCTCCGATGCTCCCTCCCCTTGCTTCTCCACCTCCTCTCCCTCCCCCACCCTCACTTGGGTGTTCACCCCCCTGAAAGGGAATCCCCCCAATAGAAATTGAACGTCCATGGTCCACGCATGAGTTGTCATGTGAGTCCGTCCGGTTATATTCAGTAGCTAACTTCATCTTATGAATCACCCTCTAGTACAGGCACAGGGGTGAGGACCCTGTACCGTACCCCAACTGTAAGTTAGTAAGTTCGTCACAGTCAGAAGTGCAGCCTCACATTTGTTTTGAGACGTGTATATACCGACCAGATCTCACGTAGGTAGGTGAGATCCCAAATATACACCAGTCTTCTTAGGCATCTACTGCTGCCACAGATGCTAGGGAGAAGTTATGTTTCACCACTGAAATTCATCAGCCATAACCACAAGTCACTGTGCCCTCAGTTAAGAGAGTCAGAGTTACTCCCACCGTTTACCCGTGCTTGGACGAACCTCTTCACTTTGATATTCAGAGCACTGGGCAGAAATCACATTGTGTCAACATCACTCTCTGACCATCGCAATGCTTTGTTTTAATTAAACAGTTGGATTCCCCTTGTCTGTGCCAGTTCTGAATTAGCCGTTAATTGATGCCTGAACAGTCACCCAGTTGCCCGGAACTGCGAAGAAAAGGCACTCCACAGTAGCTTGAGAATGGGATTGACTTCACTACAAAGGCTAAGCCAGTCCCACCAATAAGCCAACTACTTCCTGTTCTAAGCCCAAACACCCCGGCTTTCAGAGCCATTCCTTTTCCTGAAGTTAAGGAACCAATTTGCCAACTTCCCTTTCCTACATTATTCTTCATTTTCTATGGTTGAATCTTAAGTTTACAGATTTATAAAGCCCTGCTCGTTATGTCTAAAGCTTTTTTCTAGAGGGGCAAGAGCGGGGGCTATCCCAACTGCCCTACCCCCCCCCCCCCTACGATTTTGCCCTTAGTGTAGAGATAGGGGAGTAAGATACAACTTTTCAAAGTCTGCTCATTAAAATAATTAGACCTGTTTAGGGTGCTAGGGAGGATTTTGAAAAAAGTTCCAAAATTATGTAGGAAAAATGTTCAAAAATAATTATTTTTACTTTTGACGAATATTGATATATGTGACACATGTTATATCCATTTTTCAAGGGCTTTCCAAAGGAGGGTTGAACTCCCGATTTCAACCTTTTTAAAACTTTATATGATTGAATGTCGGATAAATGCTCAAACATAAATATATTTACTTATGACAAATATTAAGGTGTGACACATGTTATTACATTTATTTTTCAAGAACTTTTCAATGGGGAAGGAGGGGGGAGGGGGGAAACTCTAGCTAACACATTTTCTATGATTGAATCTAAAATTCACAGATTCAAAAAGCCTCCCCCACCTAGGTTTTTAAATATATCTAGCTCCGTATAAATGAACTTATTAACTAAACACCGAAAGAAAATCGAAGCATTTCACAAATTCGAGTTTCATGATTTTTTTTGCACTCTGCAGTATGGGAACAGAACAACAAAATGGCCGTTTTACACTTTTTTCGAGTAAATTCTACTCTATTTATATAATCTATCCTCTTATGTTCATAATTTCCGATTTTTAAAGACTTGTAAGAATTATTTAAGCATTTTTTTGTGGCGAATAACTAAGAAAATATCCAGAGACGGGAGAACGGCCAACCACAACAATTTCTCGTCCGAGCCACAATCTCATTTTCTCGTCCGAGCCACCTCAAAATCCTCGTCCTTTCAATAGTTTTTTAATCCTCCCAGATAAAACTATTTTTTAAGAATCTGGTCACGTTGAATATTTAATATTGAATTTTTGTAAATCCCAAAAAAAGTTTTAATTGAAGCAAAGTTTTAAAGTTTAATGTCCTTAAATATGTTGACCTTTTTTACGCGCATTTTCTGATAATCCTGGGAAAGAATGCCGCAAATCATCTTTTTTTAATTATAGTAAAAACCATCGAGTGTGGTTCCATGGGAAAAAAGATAGGCCGAGGTTTTCAAAATATTTTGCTATTTATTTTACATCGCGAAGGTTAGTCATCACGGAGGCAGAAGAGATTTAAGTTTTTCCTAAATAAAGTTTGAGACACCATTCTTATGGGATTGAAGATTCCAACATGATGCAATCATTGCAACACTTTAGTCCTTCTATATTTTATGCTCTAACGTGGGCAGATTTTTTAAAAGTAGTTTTATCTTCGAGAATTTTAACTTAAAACACATAATAATCGAAAAAAGAGGACTCTTAGGTGGCTCGGAAGAGAAAATGAGGAGCCGTGGCTAGCCTTCCTCCCCTCATCCAGATTTACCTCTGCCTTTTCTCAAAAGATTTACATTTTTATTTAGATGTGATATATGTGGACACGAATATGCAGATAAAAAGCGTTTAAGAGATCACATGTATCTTCACTCAGATTACAAACCCTTTCACTGTCACATCTGCAGTTATACAAGCAGAAGGTATTCAAAAACCATTATATTTTTTTTAATAGACGTTTTTGTTTTTATTCTTTATTTTAAACTGAAAACAGATTTAATAACTCAACAGTAATACTGAGTTTGAGCGTTAAGTCGACGTTCAAAATCATCCATTTGGGTGATAACGTTTTGAGAAGAGATTTTTTAAAATATTAAATATCGACGACGATAAATGTAAAAAAAAATTGTCTTCTTTATTTAATAAAATTGATGATTTTGAACGTCGACTTTCGCTCTAACTCAGTAATTAAACATCATTAAAACGTTTTATATGTCTCAAATGAATCTTAAAAATGTCTCCACACATATTCTCAGTTCAACTACTATGCATTGCCGTTCACTACCTTTAACACTTTTTTCCTTTTAGAAAATGTTACATTATTTTTTCTTTTAACGTTTTTTATCCTTGTCCCATAATGTTTAATACGTTATTTTTTTAAGAAATGACAATTTGACTGCACATATCAGAAAGCGACATGATGTGACTAAAGAGGAAGGGGAGGTATGGTATATTTTATTAATGTAATTTTGCTATAGATTAAGAGCGAAATTTTTCCCATATTTTTCTCAATATTTCTGCGGTATTTTCTCTTCTCAAATTATAAAAACCATAACATAAAAAATTTGAGGAATTATCGATTTTGTTGTGGATTTTTTGAAAGCTAAAATTTTTTAAGACAAAAATTTTATTTTATGGCCAATCTAAAAACCTTCCCTGTATTCATGTGAGGTCCCATAAAAAAATTGGACTCTATCGGTTAAATCGTTTTGATGTTTTATTAGATACAAACGTACAAGCAAAGTATATAAATATATATATAGAATGAATGTATCGTCTATATGATTCAATGCAATTTTCTCGACGGGTTGCAATGTAAGGGAATGTGGACTGTTTGGCTTAAAAGAGGCAGAGAAAAATATAAGATATTTAAGCGGTCTTGGTTGTATGATATATAAAAATTGGACAAGTTACTTGATGTCTCTTTCATTTTAAAGATAAAAAAAATTAGAGGCGTATTCAGGGCCCCCCTAGCCTAGCCTAGCCCCCATAGCAGATCTTGATTCTATTAATTGATTCTGATTAATACTGTACTCTTGAAATTTTAATCTGGGAAAAAAATGTGGAAGACACCATTATTTTTCTGAATAAAAAAGTGTTTCATTCTGATATTTTCTCCACTGCTTCTTATAAGCAAAAAATGCGTAAATCACTTTTGCAGAGAAACTGCAAATGGATATAAAAATTTTAAAGAAACAAAAATATGGATATTTAATTGATACTTGATCAGACAAAGATTTCAAGGGTACAGTTATAAATCAGGCATTGGCATCTTTGCCTGGAGGGTCACTAAAAATTACGTTTACAGTCCCATTCACATTTTCATGATTAAAAATGTTTGTAGTGAGGGAGTAGTCAAACAGTTGCTAGAGGCCCAGCAAGGAAAGATGAAAGGACTGATACTCACAGGTATACAGTGTTCTCCAATAACACAGGACTTTAGAGAGACGTCTTTAATTTTGAATCTCTGAAAGAGAAAGACGACTAATAGACTCAAGTTCTGCTTTCAAAAATTCCGATGAACATGAAACACCGCAATTAAGCAATTCCTGGTTCACGGAGAATAATTGCAAACTCCGATCCCTACCACGAATTGGGTTCAGAAGTTAACCCGCTGCTTTCGGAGAGGGAAAAACAAGCTGATTACTTCAGTGTAGCGCGTCACACCCATCGAGATATTAGTCACACCGGACTAACCACAGTGAGCAGCATTCGGTTTCTTCCATTTGAAATCAAACCTGTTTTGGTCTTTAATTCAATACTCATTTACTTTACGTATTTGTTTATTTTATATATTTTTATTTAAAATGCATATGCCAACAATAAAGTATTTAAGAAAAAAGGCTAACAAATTATGTTTAATGGGTGAAATTGTGATCGAAAGTCACAGCTTTCTGAAAATATTGAAGAACCGTTAAATCCACGTGGCGTTTGCGGCCCAGAACATCTAATGGCATCACAGCAAAGACCCATTTTACCTGTTACATGATTTTATAAGCTACTTTATAATAATAATATATTTACATAAGAATGCTTCAATGTAATCTCCCTATTTCAAAGTGTTATGTATTCCTCTGTATTAACTCTGTAAACTTCATAAACTAACTCTCCATTTTATAAAGGAATGGGTCATATAACAGATACTCTTCTAATCACAACACTTCCCCGACTACAGGTACAACACGGGGAGTTTAATAAATGTCGTCTTTACAGGAATTGTTAATCTTAGACCCATCTTGCAGATTTATGCACGAAGAAAATGGTCTAATTTATCTCATTTCGGTTTCGGGTTAAGTGTATAGTTAACGACCTTTTTTTAATGGAAGGGGTATTTAAAAATACGCTGACAAAAATACAGGGTTACTCACAAAAGATTAGACTTCAGAGACTATCTTATAATAAGCCATTTAAAGACGACTTAATTTAAACTTAGAATCGTGATATTTGTATAGTTTATAGTCTCATCATTTGTGGATAAACCTGTAGCTTAACACTTTTAACAAATTTAATTTGTATATTTTTAGAATCTCCGGATTCTAGGGATCGGTACACCAGAGAGGATTACTCTCAAGATACAGTTTGAACATCTGATTGCAGGAACGTATTTTCAAATTATTGATTCTCTTAAAGGGACTGTCCAACTCGACCAACAGTTCCTTCAACAATTAACAACGAGAACGTTTTAAAGTGTCTGTAGACGTAATTTAAAGTGACACTCCGTTTATAGAGAGTGTCACAACGTTTATAGAGAGTGTCACAACGTTTATAGAGTGTCACAACGTTTATAGAGTGTCACAACGTTTATAAAGAGTGTCACAACGTGTATAGAGTGTCACAAAGTTTATAGAGAGTGTCACAACGTTTATAGAGAGTGTCACAACGTTCATAGAGTGTCACAACGTTTATAGAGAGTGTCACAACGTGTATAGAGTGTCACAACGTTTATAGAGAGTGTCACAACGTTTATCTGGAAGTCACTTTACAAAGAACCCATAATCGAATAAAACAATTTTAAGACAGAAAAAAAACTTGGCTTTTAAAATTTTTTATTTTGTGTGAAAATGACGACTGCCTCCAGCTATTGCCGCTAACTGTCAGCAGCTTGAGAGACTTGAGTTTAGATGGGACCGGGAGGAAATAAGGTTTTCGGAGAAGAACCAGAAAGCTATTGATATTCTTAGGACGCGGTGTCTTAAACTCAAAAGTTTGGTAGGTTCCATCTAATCCTACTCATCCCGTTCTATCCATTCCATTTTACTCAAACCATCCTACTCATCCCATCATATCAATCTAATTCTACTTATCTCCTCCCACTCATCCCATCCTACTAACCACAGCCGTTTCATCCCATACAACTAATCCAATCCTACTCATCTCTTCCTACTTAGCCCACCTACTCATCCGTCATACTCATCCAATCCTACTCATCCCATCCTACTCATCCCATCCTGCTCATCCAATCCTACCTATCCCATACTAATCATCTTCCTACTCATCCCACCTTACTCAACCAATCCTTCCCATCCCATACTAATCAACTTCCTACTCATCTGATCCTACTCATCCCATCCTACCCATCCCATCCTACTCATCCCATCTTACTCAGCCCATCCTACTCATCCCATCCTACTCATTCCATCCTACTCATGCCATCCTACTCATGCCATCCTACTCATGCCATCCTACTAATCCCATCCTACTCATCCCATCCTACTCATCTCTTCCTACTCATCCCATTCTACTCATTCCATCCTACTCATCCCATCCTACTCATGCCATCCTATTCATGCCATCCTACTAATCCCATCCTACTCATCCCATCCTACTCATCTCTTCCTACTCATCCCATCCTAATCATCCAGTCTTACTTAGCCCACCTACTTATCCTATAATATTCATCCCTCTACTCATCCCAATATACTCCTCTTTACCAACTTATTCCATTCAAACCATCTTATCCTACTCTTCCCGTCCGGGCAACTTACCTCATCCGGCTAATTCTATCCTATCTATTTATCACATATTTATCATCTCATTCTACAAATCTAGCTTTATTCATCCCATCCTGATCTTCCCATTCTACTCATCCCATCCTTCGCATTCCATTTTACTCATACCTACCTACTTACCCATTATTCATTGCTTTTTAATCATCCCAACCTTCTTACCCAACCAATACATCTCATTTTACTCATTCGAACCTTCTTACCCAACCAATACATCTCATTTTACTCATCCCAACCTTTTTACCCAACCAATACATCTCATTTTACTCATCCCAACCTTCTTACCCTACAAATACATCTCATTTTACTCATCCCAACCTTCTTACCCAACCAATACATCTCATTTTACTCATTCAAACCTAATTATCCCGTCCGTCTACTCATATTGGAAATGATTACAAGAAGTGAATTAAATTTAAAACACTTTGCCACAAACTCAAATTTTCTAATCCCGATATCTTTTCAACTTAGGTTATTTAATCTCTTGATTTATAGTTCTAAGATCTACAACATAGGGTTGCAAGGATTGGGGATTAGAAAATTAAGAGTTTGTGTCAAAATCTCAGTTTCATTGTTTTAATTTTATTAGTGAAAAGTTATATAGAGACAAAATTTTTTAGTTTAAACGTAATTTTCTCTTAGGGTGTATGGTTTATATCAATACAATGAAATCGACTTTTTTAAAACTTTTGATTGTTAAAAAGCTTTTTTTGAATTAAAAGTTTACAAGTAACCAAAGAGAAGCTTTTTAAATTGACAGCAGCTTCTTTTGACTTCTATATTTATGTGTTCAAAAATTGATTTTTTTAAAAATATTGAACGAGCAATGCTGGTCACTTGAACTAGTATTTATTATTTAGGTTCTGTGCGATGGTAAACTATACGAGATAATGAGAGCTAACTTCGAGAGAGCAGATCTTGGTAGTGTGGTTAGAACCACAGTTAATAGTAGGGTCAACTTACTCTACCTTCTCAACCATTATTCTGAACTATGCTTCCAATAGAGATTATTCAACTACTATTCTGAACTATGCTTCCAATGGAGATTATTCAACTACTATTCTGAACTATGCTTCCAGCAGTGATTATTCAACTACTATTCTGAACTATGCTTCCAATAGAGATTATTCAACTACTATTCTGAACTATGCTTCCAACAGTGATTATTCAACCATTATTCTGAACTATAGCTTCCAATGGAGATTATTAAATCACTTTTCTGAACTATGCTTCCAATAGAGATTATTCAACTACTATTCTGAACTATGCTTCCAATAGAGATTATTCAACTACTATTCTGAACTATGCTTCCAATAGAGATTATTCAACCATTATTCTGAACTATGCTTCCAATAGAGATTATTCAACCATTATTCTGAACTATGCTTTTAATAGACATTAATAAACCATTATTCTGAACTATGCTTTTAATAGACATTAATAAACCATTATTATGAACTATGCTTTCAAAAGATTTTTTTAAAGAAATATTCTGAACGATGCTTTCAATAATTTATTTTAAATCAATTTTTTGAACTATTCTTCCAATAAAATCACTAATCAGAGATGATTCTGAACTTTGCTTTTAACAGAGAAGATAAAAAAGTTTTTAATTATGCCTTTAACACATATGTAAATGTATTATAGCAATTCTGCTACTTTTCATTATTTGCTAAAATAAAGTACACTAACTTACTCTTCACTTTGATAGGTGAGTACATGGAAAATTTTGGGACAATATCAAACTAGCTTTTTTTCCTATGAAAAATAAATACATGGAAGTAGAGAAAAAAAAGGTTAAAAATGAAGACAAGAAAAAAGGCTTTTTCTCTATCAAGTTCCAAATTAATGAAGGCTTTTAATTAAAGACGGTTTATAAATATGGATATTATTGAGATAATTTGTCAGTTTTTAAAGTTTTACAATGCAAATCTACTGCATACAATTTTAATTTGAATATAATCTAAGGATTAAAAAATGTAATCTCTCGTCCTGTAAATTTTAAATCCAAGATTCAGTTTCATATCTTTTATAGGATTAGTATAATCCGTCCCCTCATATTCTCTATGTCGGCAATTAATATTTTATTATATATATAAGAAGCTTTAATAATATTTAATTGTACTTCATGATAACAACATTTTACATTCTACTTTTATGAAGAGTAATGATTACATAAATGTATAAAAAACTAGAATTTGTACAAATCACATAACTGAGCACTCTCCGGCCTTCTTATCCTTTCCTCTTCCTCTTCCCTGCCCTCGACCCGTCTCTCGGATACTTTCTTCAGACTTAGCTGGAGTTAGATGTATACCTTGTTCTCTCATTAATCTCTCCCCTTCAACCCGTCCTACGGATCCGGACTTCATTCTCATGGGAACCCGTTCTTCCGGAGAGGAGAGAGTATCCATAAACCTTGACTGGGCATCGCTGGATCCCTGGGATGCATAGGAGGCATTCATCGAGCTATCATGAGACACAAAAGATGAGTTTCCAGGTCCACTTCCTTTCTTGAACCTTCCACTCTGTCTTCCGGTCTGTCTTCTCATACCTCCAGCCTCAGGAGGACCTGGAGGAGGAACTCCAGGTCTGTTTACACTAGACTGATTCATCCTGGGAGCTTGATGTTGTTCCCTTGGGACGGATCTAGAGAGTTGTGTGAGATGGTTTTGAGATGATGGTCGTCTTTGCTCAGGGTTTTGATTAGGATTGGGTGGGGATGGTCTCTGTTGAAAATGGGAAGTGTTGGAGATAGATCTTTGAATACTATTTCTATGTGAGGGCTGGGGTGGATAAGGGGCTTGCTCTACAATAGATACTGGTGCACGCACAGGTTCAGGTTTATACTCAGGTTTAGGTTTATGCTCAGGTTTAGGTATATACTCAGGTTCAGATTCAGGCTCAGGTTCATATTTGGGCGCAGGAGAAGGCTCCGGAGAAGGTTCGGGAACAGGAGAAGGTTGCGGAGTTGGCTCCTGGATTGAAATGAAAACCGGAGATACCGTTTTCTCCGGAGTGCTCTCCGGAGGAGGACTGGTTCGGGATATAACAGGTTTTTCATTATTTATCTCCGGTTTCTGAACATGCTTTACTTGAGAATATGTTACTTCGGTCGATTCAGGATTGTTGTAATTATTTTCTACTCTTGGCTCATATGAAAGACCATAATCACTCTGAGAGGTGTTCAGTTCGTGTTCAGTAGCCCCATTCTCAACAGGGAGAGGAGCAGGTACAGGTGATGGTATTCCAAAATAGCTCGCCATCGAGTTCTCTTTTCTCTGTTGTATATGCTGCTGGGGTTTATACTGGGAAATATCTGAAGATTTAGGACGATATGCCGAGACGGGTCCAGGACTTTTAGATCCAACCATTGATTTAGGACGCTCTACAGATTTAGTACGTTTAGAAGATCTGAACCCGAACATCTCTGCAAATCCTGAAGGTTTCTCTTTCCTGTTCCTACTCTCTTGTCTACTCTGAGGGGTTGTGGATCTGCTCTGATCCAGATTTTGCTCCGTTATTAGATTATCATCAGTTCTCTCGTCACTGACGACCTGCGGAGGAATCTGCTCCGTTTTCTTCTGAACCGAAACCTTGTCTTTCTTTTTAGGCATGCGCATAGAAAACCTGCTCTTACTCTCCGACCTAGGGAGAGAAGGTTGGAAACCTTCATCCTTCATTTCTTCTCTCTCAACCGGAACATTCTGCCCAGCTATGTATACAGGTTCAATTATTCCTGGAGATTTTATATCAGTCTTGCTTTTCTTCCTTGAAACTCTCATAGATGCTCTACTAGGGAGCTTAATAAAGGCAGGTTTCTCCACCTTCTTTTCCTCCTGTATCGCTAGATTTGCGGTTGATCTCATAATTTCAGCGACTACATCCTTGGCAAGCGTATGAGAATTATCATTTATCTCATCATTCTGATCCTCAGGATCAATCTGTGGATAGTTCTCTGGCGCTACAGTGTAGAGAGAGGATGGTCCGATGGGTTGAATAGGATGGATCGGTTGGGTTTCCGTCATATTTACATCTGTAGTCTCAATATTTTCCCCGTCCCATTTCTCAGGGTTAGCACGATCCTTTTTCTTGTCTTTAGACGAGAAAAATGAAAATCCTGATTTTGATTTTTGTTTTGGCATTCGTCTTCTCTGATCAACCTCTATCGTAGGTTGGTCTGGAACCTTGGTTGGAGGAGGAGCCCTCATTGGTCCTTGTTTCACGGGCTTCTCCTTCTTTTTGAAACTAAAAATAGATTTAGGTTTGGATTTCTTCCGTCCTATAGATTGATCATCATAGTTTTCATCTGAACTCTCTTCGACAAGATTTTGCTCCAAATTCCTCCTTTCCGTCTCCTTAGCTTCCAGTTGCTCTTGGAGCACTAGGTTGGCATTTGAGAGCATTTGTTGCTCTTCCTCCAACCTCCGTTGCTCGAGGCTAAAATCCAGTTCTTGTTCAGGGATCATGGGTTTCTGTTTAGAGGAGAGCTCTGCTATCAGACGATCATGCTGCTGTTTCATGTTTCCAGGTTGAGCTCCAGGATCTCCAGGACTGGTTAAAACCTGAGTAGGAGCAAAACTATGAACAGGATTTCTGGGATAAGGAATTTGAGGATTAAAATCTGTTAGTTGAGATTGATAAACGAATTCTGCCGACGGAAGTGGCTCAGGTTCCGGTTTCCCGTTAAACATTGGTTTGATTGGTATGTATTGCTCCGGACCTTTTATCTCATAAGGTTTATATTGAGGTATTGTGGGGCTAGATTGTCGTGCTTCAAATGTCTCTGATTTGAGTTCACTGGCAAACTGTTGCATGTAGGAGAACTCTGGAGATGCAGAGAAAGTAGTTTCTCCGTTCACTGTTGTAATCTTCTGAGAAGGATAGTATTCCTCCCGAGTATAAACTGGTTCCGGAGTTTTTGGAGCTTTTGCCACAGATTTATTCTTGTAAGTGTTATATCTTGTAACTCGATCCACCTCACTGCTGTTGGAATGGAAAGATTGTTCTTTCTCCAACTCCTCTTCTGTCTCCTCAGATGTAGAATCCAAACCTAGGATTGCATCAATATCAATTTCTTGAGTTCGTTCATGCTCCGGGTAGAATCTTTCAGTGACTGGTTCAGGTTGAGGTTCAGGTGCAGGTTCTGGCTCTAGATCTGGTTGAGACCGGAAAGACTCGTTGAGACGTGTAATCTCTAATGGTTCATCCATCAGTTCATCTAGATTGGTTGGTTTAGACGTTGACAGTTTTCTATCCAACTTTCTCTCCTGTCTCTCCTTGAACACTGCGTCAAGATCTGTTTCTCCGAAAACTAAACTCGCTCCGAAATCGATAACCTGCTGGTTACAGGGAGGAGGTAAATCGTCCTGATTAGGAACACAGTCTGGTAGGTTTACTGCTGGCTGAGCAGGGATATACTGGGGACTCTGAGATAGGTTCATGATGACAGCATCTGCGTGTTTTGAGTTGTAAGGTTGAAAAAGACTTTTCTGAGCAGTAACTCCGGTGGCAGAAACCTGGGGAGTGTCGTCCAATCTACTTGTAGGGGGTAGGATATGAAACCTCGGACTCTGATCTCCGTAGAGGTCCTGGAACTCACGTTCTTCCTCCTCACTATCCGACCTCAACCCTGACTCCATCCTGGGATCTATATGAATAAAATCATCTGATCCTGCATCCTTTGCCCTGTTCGGTTTCTTGAAGAAGGATAGAAACCCCTTCTTCTTGGGCTTATTATCGTAATCAGTATCTAGGGCGTAGGCTTGACTGGTCTCATGGTAGTTAGCTAGAGCAGGGTCCTGGAACCTATTATCAGGGTTCATCTGGTAGTATTCTTCAGCATTATCTCCAGTATCGGAATCCAACTTGGGAGAGCTGCTCTGCAAGGGTTCTCCGAAATCTTTCATGATCTCCCCCCGAACCTTCCTGTTCTCATACATGTGTGAGAACTCTGTGTTTGGAAAGAGATCTGTCTCCACCTTGTAATGGGTTTGTGGAGCAGGATCCGCTTGCTCCAGGTTCTCATTCTCTCCGCCAGATTCAAGAGATTTCTTTCTATTTCCGGGACCCCAGATATTCTGCTTCTGAGGGGGAGCTTCTAATCGTGGAGTTATATTGTCGGGAGAAGATTCAGATACTCCGTCAGGTTCGGAGATATCCGGGATGGGTTTAATATCTACCATGATATTTTTAGAATTTATTGATGTATCATCATCAGACGAGGTTTCAGACTCGGATGATGAGTTTGAATCCTCTTTGCGTACACTTACAATCTCGGCGTGATGAACTTTTGGAAGTTCCTCCATCTTGACAGTATCAGTGAGGAACTGATTCTCTGATAGGTTCGGAGACAGGACCATGCACGAGCTCTGGTCTGTGCTAGAGTTAGAAGACTCAGGTAGAGCAGAGGACGGAGAGGATTCAATAGAACCAGATCGTTCTTTCGAGAGGTATTTATTCACTTTAGGTTTGTTTAGTATCGGAGCAGATGGATCTGCCTCTAGGAAGGATTTACGGAGCTGACGAATCTTTTCTCGTGTACTATAACTTGAACTATAAGGACTAGAGGTGTACAGTGGGGTTTCACTTTTCTCCGTGTCACGTTTAAAACTGATCGGATATTGCAAATCTTCTATTTTCCCTGGAACTGGAGGCGGATTGTTATTGTTTAAATTATTTAGCTGAGAAAATAGGGATTTCTGGAGGAAGATATGAACTACGTTCTCTGCCTCTGGGTTGAGTGGTTCTCCGTAGAGGAATGGATTTGTTTTGTCTATGGATAAGCTGTGGTTGGATGGAAGGTTTAACGGCTCTTTTGCATACGGATACCTGGAATACAGAGAAAGATTAATGCATGAGTTAAAACGAATTTTACCTCTATTTTCAGTAATTATACAAAATTAATGTGTTTATAAATGAACATATTTGCAGGCACATTATGCAATGTTATAACTCTTAAAATCTAAATGAAAATATTTAAATTCTCTAGTATGTCTAGTATTCTTACCTATAACTGGATTCGTTGATAACTGAATCCCGTTCTGAGTAGTTACTGTACGCAGTTAATGATCTGGATTCAAATGAATATCTATCGTCCTCAGGAAAGAACTGTCCAGTACCGTTAACATGACACGAGCTTGCTGTCAGCTCAGTACATATCCCGGAGTCTAGTCCTCGACCCCCGACGTCTATATCTCCGAATACCCGGAGTCTGGAGAGGGTTCGGGTCGGAGTAGTCCGTCCTGGAGTGACAGGACAGCTTTTAGCAACCCTGCTTCGTTTCTCCCTAAACCCTGCCTCACAAGCCTGGTCGTTCTTTAGGTTTTGATCTTGTATATCTTGCCTTATATCCGGTATACTTTGCCTAAATACAAACGGTTTAAACTTATTCCAATTTTTATCCTTCTGAAGTTTTTAAAAAAGTCTAAAAGTTGGTAATTTTTCAAAGTCACAATATAAAATTTTATTCTGAGATCGGAATTTTTGTTTGAGATATCCCTAATCTACATAAATGTTCGATTTCGAAATCCGAAACAAACACTTGTAAAATGAAGCGATTTTGGGCTTAAACTGTGAAAAACAGCTCTTTTCCGAAGTTTAACGTGTAAGGATTAGTTCCTTCTGAAGAGGTTAACAATACAAAAGTACTGACCTCTCACTTCTGAGTTATTTTTACTTCTACATTAAAGTTAAGAGATAAATAGCTCTTGATCGAAGTAAAGGAACTGATTACTTGCTTAAAACTCCAATTTATAAAACCAATATTTTTGCAACTTTGAAACTTCAAACTTTGACTTTTTGATCTAGCAAAATTAATATTAATGGTTGATTAAAGGATTGTAAGATTCATATAAATGGTTGATTAAAGGATTGTAAAATTCAAGTTTGCAACGAGTAATCAGTTTCGGGTTTAAGATCTGTTAAAGTTTAACCTGGCGTTATGCCTGTATCCTTCTCCTAGATCTAGGTGAGAGTAGGTTACTACAGGGTTAGATTTATCAATGTATCCAGGTTTATGAAAATGCTGAGGTCTAGATTCATTCTTATATTTCTTCCATAGCCCTCGGTCACTCACGGTCCTGTACAGGGGCATCCTTGGTCACCTAGAGAATAGATATCTTATTCATCTTATTCATCTTATTCATCTTATTCATCTTATTCATCTAATTCATCTTTTTCTTCTTATTAATCTTATTCATCTTATTAATCTTATTCATCTTATTCATCTTATTCATCTTATTCATCTTATTCATCTTATTCATCTTATTCATCTAATTCATCTTTTTCTTCTTATTAATCTTATTCATCTTATTCATCTTATTCATCTTATTCATCTTATTCATCTTATTCATCTTATTCATCTTATTCCTCTTATTCATCTTATTCATCTTATTCATCTTATTCATTGAACCAACTGAACCCACTGAACCGACTGAAACAACTGAAACAACTAAATCAACTGAACCAACTGAACAAACTGAACAAAAACTAAACAAACTGAACAAACTAACCAACTGCACCAACTAAACCAATTGAACCAACTGAACCAACTGAACCAACTGAACCAATTGAATCAACTGAACCAAATGAATCAACTGAACCAACTGAGCCAACTGAACAAACTAAACCAACTGAACCAACTGAACCAACTAAACCAACTAAATCAACTGAACTAACTGAACCACCTGAACCAAATGTATCAACTGAACCAACTAAACCAACTGAACCAACTAAACCAACTGAACCAACTAAACCAACTAAACCAACTAAACCAACTAAACCAACTGAACTAACTGAACCACCTGAACCAAATGAATTAACTGAACCAACTAAACCAACTGAACCAACTAAACCAACTGAACCATCTAAACCAACTAAACCAACTAAACCAACTAAACCAACTAAACCAACTAAACCAACTGAACTAACTTAACCACCTGAACCAAATGAACCACCTGAACCAAATGAACCAACTGAGCCAACTGAACAAACTAAACCAACTGAACCAACTGAACCAACTAAACCAACTAAACCAACTGAACTAACTGAACCACCTGAACCAAATGAACCAACTGAACCAAATCTGAAGAAACTGAACAAATTGAACCAACTAGACCAAACAGAACCGAACTGAAGTACATTGAACTAGCTAAACTATATCTAATATCTATTAATATACAATTTTATTATTATTTTTAGTATATGTTTAATTATAGATTAGAACTAATCACATTGAGCGTGAAGGAAACCAGATATTAACAAGGATTACCATTACAGTGTCCCTGGAGTAACATTAACCTTTTTGAAAAGTCTCAAAAAACGTACTTTGCCATTTTTTATAGATTGCATTACAAGCAAAACAGAACTAACAAGTTTTAGTCGAACCCTTGATTTTGGCAGACTTAATGATCACCCTGTTTTTCTGCAAGTATATAAAAGATAGATAGAATTTATTAAGAATGTTTTTAGAACATAAAATTTTTAAAAACTTTTGTCAAAACGGTTTATTTGTAAATACATATGAAGATCAATATATAGAACAACATTTATATTTTAATTGTTATCGTCTTGATTTTCCAAATTGAAATGATAAATAAAAATATAAATTTGAAGGATAGATTTATTGACAGACATAAACTTTTGAGAGCTCATTGTAAAGTGTTTTTTCTCAATTTAAAAAAAGGCAAGTCCTATTCACAACGGTACCCTTCAAACCTGCATCTCATCAAAAATGTGAAAAATATTAAGAAGTGTTTGATTATCAAAGTTTTGTTTAACCAAAAATGCGCAAGTTATTATTTTAGAGAAATCAATAAAGAAAACTATTAATATTCAAAAAGAGAAACATGAATTGCTCATTCGTTCTTGAAGGTTTCCGGTTACCCTTCTGAATCGCCCATCCTAATTTATGAATGGAGAGACATTTGAAATTACATCTACAGAACCTTTAAGATGGTTTTTTAAAATATTGATAATACTAGATAAAGATCTAAGATATAAAGTAAAATAAAGTATAATGGTGAAAACCCACTTTGTTTTTAACAGAAAGTAATTTTTAACTTTCAAAGTTTTATCCCATGACTCACTGCATTAGAACGTCTGTACTCATGTATTTGAAAATGCTTTATTCAGGAAATCCACCAAACTATTTAAGTTTATCAGACCAAAACAAAATGGCCACAAAAATCAAAACCAAACATTCACAATCTTCTCCGTAAAACCTTCAATCACAACCTATTTCCTCTGAAACCACGAACCACCTGTTTTTACCAACTAGACAAATCAAACCATGATATAAAACATGATTTCTGCATTACGAGCTGATCAATTTGATTGATTTAAATCGTGAGTCTGCCTGCGACTTAATGTGTAATTCTTTGTCACCGCACCCCCCCCTCCGGCTGGTTTGTAACAAAAGCAAATGTTTTTTGTTTGTTTTTCTGACTTATAATGATAACGTAAGTGAATGTCCCCAAGTTATAAGTTTGCACTGATAAAATACATAATTTCTTAAATATGTAATTTCCGGCCAGTGCAGACTACGTTCTTCTAAAAGCCTGGAGCTATAACCATGCAGGCCTGGGTTCCTACTGTAGTTAGGACCTGGAGCCAAACAATGGGAAGATTCATCTGAGTTCCTACTGTAGCCTAGACCTGGAGTCAAAACAAAAAGAAGGTTCATCCTATTCTCCGGTATAGGCTTAGATTGGGCTGAGAGGGTGGATTGAAGGTGGAACTATTAAATGATGATTTAAGGCGTATAAACCAGACAATTCTACCGCCCTCTATTGTCAGATTGAGAAGCTACCATTACTTCTTCTTCTCTTCTTCCTCCTTTCTCATTCTTCATTTTTATTTCCCGCATTTTTCTACTTTTCTACTTATTCAAGGAAACTGTTGTCGGTCAAAAAACTTCTCATTCTAATTTCTAATCCTAATTCTAATTCTCAATTTTTTGACATTTTAATCAAAAGTTTTTAGTTTCCTCTTCCTCATTTCTACTTTTTTATTTGTTCTTTATTTTTTAATGATTTTAAAAATTAATTACAAGACAAATGAGATTGGATATCAACCAGTTTTGGTCTCTGTTGACAGCTTCAAACAAAACATTTTGATCAGGTCCATTGACCCCCCAACCATACTCAAACCAGTTTCAAGTAATACGCATATATAAGATTTGGGCGACTGCAAGGACAGGGTGGAGTAGACTAGAAACAAATCACAATATTTTTTAAAGAAAAAGATGAAGATTAGAAGTGAATACGTTTGTAAACATGGACTAAGATATACTTTAAGAATAGGGTACCCAAAAAAATTCTAAAAATGTTGAGAATAATAATTAAGTTATTTAAATAATTCTTTTATTTTCTTAAAAAGAGAATTTATTATAAATAAAAACAAAATTGTTTTTAACCCTTTGTTATTTTCAAGGTGCAAAAAGTTAGAACAAGTAAGAGATAACTAAATAAATAGCAATGATTCATTCATTATCTTATTACCCCCCCCCCCTCTAATACAAAAAAGAGATAGAACTTTTTGAGTTGAAGATTTATGCTTGAAAAAGATTTTATCCAAGATTTGAAATTTTCTCATTAAACTATAAATTATACATACGTTTTGCCGCATTTCAAAAGATCAAAAAAATGACAAAACTCCATCTAGATCAATCCACAAAACAATTGTACAGGCAAAAAACAAAACAAAATAAAACCGTGTTTCACATTTCAGATATAACAACATACATCTATTATTAAGTTTGAATTTTATAAAAATTCTGATCAACCTGTGTAGTTGTACATAATATTAAACTGAATTCAATCAAGGAAGGTTTATAAAAACTGTGAGTTCCCGTAAAATCTTTTTAGATATTTATAAAATCTCTGGTTAAGAAAATAATATAATTCTTGAAAGGATAATCTCCCCGCATTGATCAAAGATTAAAATACTCCAAGATGTAAAGGATAAAACTAGTCCTATCCAATCTGTCCTGGTATCCCTGCATGCAACCTGTAAACATTACTCCACACCCAGAGTAAACCAACCCGTCATGGTTCAGTTTAAACACATCAATTTTATCCTTATATCATCCTACTAATTCTATCCAACATGACTTGTTTTTTCTTCTTTTATTCATCTAAACTTGACTAAAACCAACCTTCTTCATTGTTTCTCAGATAATTGTATCTAGTGATGAAGAGAGTACCCGGAGCAGGATTGAGAACCTAAGGTTCTCCAATGGCCTGAGCAAAACTGAGGAGATAAGGTGGAATCTACCTGCCAGGCAAAACTACAGGGTCTTTCTAATACCCCGGGTACCTGCCTAGTTGGGGAGGCTTGGGGCTACAGAGGGGGATGGGGGGGGGAGGAG